TTTAGCTATGACGATTGTTGAACGACAAACTGAGACAAGAAGGCCAAGAATATTCAATTCATACTACGAAGTATTTAACAACAGGGCATAAAGGAACTTGGCCTCTTTGTTAAGAGTCCTGGGTAATCTAACGCTCAATACTTTCCAAGAATATTGCTGCTCCGTATCTTCGAATCTTTCAATCTATTTTTTTCAAAAGCTGATAGATTACTTATTTAATTGAATTTTCAATTTCAGCACATTCCAGAATCAAATTCAAGATATATAATTTTCAGTTTGGTGTTCGTGTTTGCTTTTAATTTAGTATTCCTTCGATATGCTTTCAGATTACCAACCTTCTAATGGCAAGGAACGTTTCTACTTTAAATTATTCTCGAGTTGTTAAGGAAAAGTGTACACCGAAAGTTTAATCTGTCCTTTTAATTCAAGGGTTTGGATTACATAAATTTTATTTATCGAATGCGATTTCATTGCCAAATGGTAGTTTGGCGAATTATTGTAGTAGAATTAGAGAAAGCAATAAATAATTCAGATGAAAAACAGGGAATCAATGATTATAAGTGGCGTTGAAAGTTGTATCGCCTGTCATCGTAAATTATGTACCATATATAAAGAATCCCCAAAAGTCCTAAGTCAACGATTTATGTGTGTAGAATGTTAGATACCTTTTTGACAAATAACATTAATATATCGTAGGTATGAATGATTTCCGAGAATTCTATCTTCCATTTTTGTAATAAACTTGCAAAAGAATTTCTGTCCATAAGATTGTCAGTTTTTTTTTGGAAACAATATTATTTCAATGCTGAATTGTTTAAAATGTCTCTCTACAACTGTCATTTAGTAGGAGACAAGCTCACTCCGAAGAAAATGTAGTGCCTCACTAGACAAGTGTCGAGGACAAAGCGCAGTAACATAAATGATTTCACTAAACAAACCGAGAAGACTTAACGGCAGGTTACAGTTGATACCCACCGACCCCACTGTTTTGAGTATAAAACTGTAATTCGTACGTCACCATTAGGTGGTAATGACTAACAAAATTAGTTTTATACAACCAATCAAATTAACAAAACTCTCTGCATTCCGAATCAACCATGCCATATTCTCCGACTCACTGGCACCCAAAACTTTCAAACGCATTTACGAAGTGTCAGGACCGTATTTAAGGACCACTCGTCCCCGGAGCAAAACAAAAAAATAAAGAAATCTTTATATCTTGCATGACACGAAAGACCGTGCAATCCCCAAAAAAATTCAACTCCAGACCCCAAACTCGGTTTCTAA